TTTTTGTTTTTTTTTTTTTTTTTTTTTTTTTTTTTTTTTTAAATAATGCTATCAAGGTGGAGCTGCTCACAGGTGTCTCCTGACCCTCACACTGCTCTGGAAATTTGCATGGCAATTAGAAATTGAAGCAGCTCTTAGACAAAAGTTAGAAAAATAATTTAAAAAATTCAATTGGCCCTTGGATGGAGGTGGAGAAATCAGTCATGGGTAGGAGATTTGGTTGAAAGGTGATTTTGTTGTGAAAAGCGGGTGGTGTGGGGTGAATATATAGTGTCAAAGTGTGGAAGGTTTTTAGGGGAAGGCACAGCAGACTGTATGTATGGTCAAAGAATCATACAATTAATGTATGATTCTTTGATACTACACGTATTATTCACTTGGCTTTCAAATGTTAGTCACCCTTACTATAAAATAGTATACACCCTTACAAAATTTTTTAATTGTCCAGAAGCCTGAAGCTTTTGGAGGAGAATACAAGCATTAACTTTTGTAGTGACAGGACATCTGGACTATAGTGTTTACCAATAGGGAGAGTATTTCCCTCAATAATTAACAAACAAGGATATTAAACCATGCCTGTTGGGGTTCTTTTATCGGTAATGAGGGCTTTTAAAATTTTTTAGATGAACTCCTCCTGAGCTTTAGTTAACATTGCCAGAATTGTAATAAGTGTTTTATTAATGACTTTTCTTCTCTTGCTGCTTTTGGGCAGGCATGACGCATCTCTGCCTACTTGCGAGACAAATTCTTTCAGTAAAATCTCAAGCTGTCAGACTAAGTCATCTGTAAGTCATACAAGGTAAATCTTTTAAGGTATATCTACAGCAGACTGCTAGGTGTAAGCAAGATTTTTAGGCAGTATTTGTGCATTTGAATCTGAGAAGTGGTGTAAAGTATAGTTGCATAAGTGTTTGGAGTGTTTTGTTCACTTCTGAAATGATTTAAAAAAATGCACAGCAATACTGTGGGTAATCTTGAAATTGTAAAATAGAGCCTGGATTATGGAATCACAGAATTATATGGGGTTGGAAGGGGCCTCTGGAGATCATCTAGTCCAACCCCTCTGCCATTGCAAGTCCACCCAGAGCGGGTTGCACAGGAACGTGTCCAGGCAGGTTTTGAATGTTTTCAGAGATGGAGATTCTACCACCTCCTTGGGCAGCCTGTTCCAGACAGATTCCACCACCTCCTCAGGCAGCCTGTTCCAGGGCTCTGCCACCCTCAAAGTAAAGAAGTTCCTCCTCATGTTTAGATAGAACTTCATATGTTGAAGTTTGTGCCCATTTCCTCTTGTTCTGTCACTGGGCACCACTGAAAAAAGACCCGTCCCGTCCTCTTTAAGTATTTATAAGCATTGATCAGATATCCCCTCAGTCTTCTCTTCTTCTGACTAAAAAGACCCAAGTCCTTCAGCCTTTCCTCATAAGAGAGATGTTCTAGGACCCTAATCATCTTTGTAGCCAATTGTGTCACCATTGTAGAGACAATTTTGGAGCCAGAATGGTTTTTTTTTTTTTTTTTTTTTGGCTTGTTCACATTCCTCCCAACCCAGTTAATAAGTAGGGAAAATGAAAAGGGGGTTAGGAGGACGTCAGATTTGGTAAAGGTGGCTAAAAGTAGACCTACTGAAGTTATATCACCAAATATACCAAAGCTTTCCATGTTTATTGTTTATTATGAAGAGGAGGAGAAGCTAAAGGATCTTCAGGGCTCTTTCTGTCAGCACCATGGAGAATTAGATGGATCCACGTGGAGTGTCCTGGAGTTCAGTGGGAATGACCCAGGGGAGTGAGGCAGAGTCTGGGATAGGAAATTTGAAGGCTGATAGATGCTGAATCCAGTCTTGATAAGGGGGATGTTTTATTTGTGGGTGTAATAAAAATTGCTGTTATCTACATTAGTATTCAAGTGGCTAATACATTGCCTGATGTCTTTGTGAACTGGGAACCTACAGTTGCATAACTTTCTAGTGGTTAATGTAGTTTGGTGTTGTACTGAGTCTCTGTCAATCTTTCCTGCTTTCTCCTCTGTTGTTTCAAAGCTTCTGTGCTAGAAAAGTTCTGCTGGAAACTCCTGCGGGAAACCTGCCGAAGTTAGGACCCGCTCCTCTTCCTGTTCTTTCTCCTTCCAAGCAGAGATCAAAAATTAAGAGCATGGCTGCTGCTGCTGTGTCTGCTGCCATTGCTGTCCGGGCCAGGTAGATATCAGCTTTAAATGGAATATTTTATGGCTTGATTTAAGAAAGTTCAAGCTCACACAAGAATAATCAGTTCCTGGCAGGGTTGTAAAATCAGGTCTTTCACAAGAGCATGGTGGGCAAGTCATTAGAATATGTCCAAGGCTCCCATGCCCTCAGCTTAGCCCCAGACTGCTACTCTCTACTTTGGTAAGTGATTGTATCTTTCTGATCCTCATGATACCCATTTTACAGTTCAGTCAGTAAACTAACTGTAAAAAATACTTGTTACATGGGTGACAAAGAATAATCTGCATCTTTGAGTAACTTTTAGATGCTTGAAGACAGTAACTCTCTGAGATGCATCTAAATTTTTATTAAATTGCTTTTTTATAAAGTCTTACTTAGACCAGTGGTCTCAATTTTTTTAATCATGCACCCATATCAGTAAAAAATTTTTGAGCGTGCATCTCCAATATATTTATGTATTTCTAAATTATATAAATGTTCTAATGTACTAGTATATTATGTACCTTATAAAACATAGACAAACCCAGAAATTAAAAAAGGATAAGAAAAAAGATTAAATAAACACCAGTAGTTTCAAATATATTATCTATTTTATTATTGCGAAAAATAAAATAAATTTCTTCTCATGCCCCAATGGGTTGTCTTGTGCATCCCCTGTGGTGTGTCACCTCCACTTTGGGGACTGCTTATGTAGACATAATTTCCACATCGTTTATCCTAGGCTCAGTTTCTCCACACTGCTAGAGTTTACAGGCTTTTCATAAGGGATTTTGGGGTTTCAGTTGTCCCAGCCATCTTGAACCTTGTTTGGTTACCTAGTTTGTTTACCTGGTCTTTGGCTTTGGCTTGCTAGACTCTCCGAACCTAGCGTCTACCGCTCTCTCTTGGATGCCCTGCTCATCACGCCTGTCACTAAGCCGCCTCTGCAGGCCTTCGAGCCCTCCAGGAAGTCCACAAGCGCTCTGGAGTTGCAGCAGAGCAAGAGGTATTGTCCGAGTGTGGCACGTGGTTGACACTGGGGACTCACAAGGAACTGGCTTCTCCTTCAAAGCCTGTTTCTGTTGTCTGCACGCTTGAGGCAGTCTGCCTGTTGTGGTCTTTGGCACGAGGTCACCAACCCCAAATCCTACTGGTTTTCACCTCTTTGCAGAACTAATCTGCACCCTGGTCCTGGCAGTGGTGTTTGTGCAAGTTCACTGTACTAAGCAAAGGTTTCCTCACTGGCATCAGGGGCACCTCTGAGATGCACGATGCTGTTCATCTTGCATCATGAACCTCTGAGGGAGGCACCATCACACTAAATGGCCAGCTGGAGAATAAACAAGGCGTTCTGGCTTGAAACCTCTATCCAAGTGAATTATTTGCAACAGTTCCATGAGCAAGTAAGCGGCATGTAAGGCTGCGAGGGTGCTCTGGGAACAAAGAGCTGCTATTTTTCAAAGCTCGCTTTTAATGTATAAAATCAAATAACTGGCATGCGGTGCAGCAAATAACTATTTTAAAACTTATTTGCTGTCTAAGCCCTTTGTTCCAGTGCTGATTCTGTTCAGTGCACAGGACTTTTTGTTCTTGTTTCCTGACCACAGCTATGTTAACGCTGTAGAAAGTCGCTTTTATGTAATGGACTTCAGAAATCTAGGCAGAAATCTATTTGGTTATTTTACAGGACAGTATGTTGTGCTCAGGAAGAAATAATTTGTGGGCTTTTGTGTACTTATTTGCATTTTCACAAAAGTAAAACCCTTCAAGAGATAAGGCCCAATTATAAGTAGAGCTTGATGTAAAAAATTTCTGTTGAGTAAGAAGTATTAGATCTTTTCCTTCTGTTTCATGGCTTCCAAGGTGACCTCAGTCACTAGAAACAGCTAAAGTAGCCGTAACTTTGGGGATAGGAAATGGTAGTTACTAGATACCAACAGGCAATCTTAAGTTGTAGCAAATTTTCCAATGTTGTGATAAATCTGCTTTAAAAAGAAAAAAACAACAATATTGACAGAATTATAGTGATATAATGCAACCTTAAATACTATTTTTCTTTTTGCCACTGAATGACACTTATGAGGAAATCGTTTTATGTGCTCATTCAAAGGGAAAACCTCTCCAGGAGTTCTGATACCTGTGCACCACAAGATGTGCTGCCAGCAAGATTATTCTTTAGCTGTGGTGTTTGTTTGTTGATACTTTAGTAGAGCCAATAATGGTGCTGACTTCTCTTTTCTTTTTTTCCTTCACTCACTAATGTGCATTGTTTATGGCATAAGCTGCAAATGCAGGTAGATTGTTTCAAGAATGGAACCAAACCCCTTCCTGACTCTGAGCTGGTTGCTCTATGTTTATCCATCATTTGCTCACCATATTGGGATAAATTCTCTTCGTTTCAAAGGTTTATTTTTGGAGAGGCAAACACTTATTTCTGCTAGAAAGTCGAGATTCCCAAACTGGCTCTGCCCTGTTCCTGTCCCTTGTGAGTACATGGTGCTGCCCATCAGGAAGGGTAGCAAGCCATGAAGAACTTTTCATCCTGCCATGGAGGTTTTTCTCTGTTTGGTTCTGGCAGAGCTGAAAAGGGATGTGCCGGGGAGCTAGGAGGTATACTGGGAATACAGAGACCAAATAAGCCTATTTTTGAAGAATTTTTCCCCAAATAGCTGGTGTTGACCTGAAGTTACTTTCAACATACCAGGGTAGTGATTTCTGTTTGCCTTACCATCATCCTGAGCTGCCAGCACTATACCTGTGCACCACAAGATGTGCTGCCAGCAAGATTATTCTTTAGCTGTGGTGTTTGTTTGTTGATACTTTAGTAGAGCCAATAATGGTGCTGACTTCTCTTTTCTTTTTTTCCTTCACTCACTAATGTGCATTGTTTATGGCATCGCTGACTCTGAGCCGGTTGCTCTATGTTTATCCATCATTTGGTCACCATACTGGGAGAAATTCTCCTCATTTTGAAGGTTTATTTTTGGAGAGGCAAACACTTATTTCTGCTAGAAAGTCGAGATTCCCAAACTGGCTCTGCCCAGTTCCTGTCCCTTGTGAGTACATGGTGCTGCCCATCAGGAAGGGTAGCAAGCCCTTTTCTTTTTTTCTTTCACTCACTAATGTGCATTGCTTATGGCATAAACTGCAAATGCAGGTAGATTGTTTCAAGAATGGAACCAAACCCCTCGCTGACTCTGAGCCGGTTGCTCTATGTTTATCCATCATTTGGTCACCATACTGGGAGAAATTCTCCTCATTTTGAAGGTTTATTTTTGGAGAGGCAAACACTTATTTCTGCTAGAAAGTCGAGATTCCCAAACTGGCTCTGCCCAGTTCCTGTCCCTTGTGAGTACATGGTGCTGCCCATCAGGAAGGGTAGCAAGCCATGAAGAACTTTTCATCCTGCCATGGAGGTTTTTCTCTGTTTGGCTCTGGCAGAGCTGAAAAGGGATGTGCCGGGGAGCTAGGAGGTATACTGGGAATACAGAGACCAAATAAGCCTATTTTTGAAGAATTTTTCCCCAAATAGCTGGTGTTGACCTGAAGTTACTTTCAACATACCAGGGTAGTGATTTCTGTTTGCCTTACCATCATCCTGAGCTGCCAGCACTGGCAAGGAGGAGGGGGTTGCCAGTGGATGAAGCTGTAGGAAGGAAGCTTTGTGCTGCTTCATCCCAGTGAAATAAAGAGCACAGCCCTGTTGTATGGATCCAGAAACATAGGAAAAAGAAATAGAAGACAACAAATTATGCTTACAATTTCCTGTAAGTACATATTCTCATTTAAGTTCAACAAAGAGCAAGCAAAACCAATCAATTATGTCAGGAAAAAAAAAAGGAAAATAGAAGTGGTTTGAGAGAAATGTACCCAATGAATGTGAGAAACTAGGTATTAAAATGTCTTTGCATTAATTACTGCCTGTCTAATGACATACTGTAATATGTGTGCAAATATAATGCTGAAAAATTATTTTAAGTGGCAGCTCACTTCATCCCCAACACAATAGCTGATAAGGAAAGAAAACTGAAATCTTATGTCCCATAACTAAAGAGGTGAGTATATGGCATTGTATAGTAGAATCACGTCTTCAAAAAACAGCTGGTTCAACCAAGAAAGCCAAATAAATAAGCTAAGCAGCTTCAGGGTTTCTGTTTCCTGGTTCTAGTTTGTGCAACTTTCATGAAAAGATAATGAATCTATTTTACCAGGGTAGTTTATGCTTCTTTCCACTATCTCCAGGGAAAAACCTCCAGAAGGTTGTAGCTATACCAAAAGCAAGGTTTCCATTTTGTTGTGCAGTAGGATTGCTCCAGAAATATTTCCCTTTTATCCCTTTCACTTCACTGTCTCTGTTCCAAAAAGCTGGCTGTCTTAAACTGCTCTGTACTGGGTAGCTTCCAGAGAACTTGACCTTTGTCTGACTTAGTATCTGTTATTAACTGGCCTGAAGTGGTACTGAACATCCACGTGTTTTTTTCCCCTGCCAGACTCCTCAGAAATTGATTTTTTTTTTTTTTCTGGTAGAGCAGCCATGCAGTCTTTCACTAAACTAAGTGTTCATCCTGATGGCAACAGAGATGAAAATAGAAGTGGTTTGAGAGAAATGTACCCAATGAATGTGAGAAACTAGGTATTAAAATGTCTTTGCATTAATTACTGCCTGTCTAATGACATACTGTAATATGTGTGCAAATATAATGCTGAAAAATTATTTTAAGTGGCAGCTCACTTCATCCCCAACACAATAGCTGATAAGGAAAGAAAACTGAAATCTTATGTCCCATACTGCCTGTCTAATGACATATTGTAATATGTGTGCAAATATAATGCTGAAAAATTGTTTTAAGTAGCAGCTCACTTCATCCCCAACACAATAGCTGATAAGGAAAGAAAACTGAAATCTTATGTCCCATAACTAAAGAGGTGAGTATATGGCATTGTATAGTAGAATCACGTCTTCAAAAAACAGCTGGTTCAACCAAGAAAGCCAAATAAATAAGCTAAGCAGCTTCAGGGTTTCTGTTTCCTGGTTCTAGTTTGTGCAACTTTCATGAAAAGATAATGAATCTATTTTACCAGGGTAGTTTATGCTTCTTTCCACTATCTCCAGGGAAAAACCTCCAGAAGGTTGTAGCTATACCAAAAGCAAGGTTTCCATTTTGTTGTGCAGTAGGATTGCTCCAGAAATATTTCCCTTTTATCCCTTTCACTTCACTGTCTCTGTTCCAAAAAGCTGGCTGTCTTAAACTGCTCTGTACTGGGTAGCTTCCAGAGAACTTGACCTTTGTCTGACTTAGTATCTGTTATTAACTGGCCTGAAGTGGTACTGAACATCCATGTGTTTTTTCCCCTGCCAGACTCCTCAGAAATTGACCTTTTTTTTTTGGTATAGCAGCCATGCAGTCTTTCACTAAGTGTTCATCCTGATGGCAACAGAGATAGTCTTAAGTTCATGTGTTTTTTAACAAACTACATATATGCAGCAAAGGAAATGATGTATTTAATATCTTGTGTTTCCAAGAATTGGAGCTCTGCCCTAAGATTAAATCGCACGGCAAAAACGCTGTGAAATTTTGGGAGACAGTAGCAAGAATGGGCATTGACTTGGCTTTTGCTTTATCTACCTGACACTATGCCACACGCAATTACTTGAAAAGAGGATAGTCTGGCCTTGTGAGATAAACACTGGTCTTGACTGTGAGAGAATACATAATCTGAAAGATGCTTTGAATTGTTTCTGTGGAGAGCACTGCTTACAGAAGGATTACATACGCCCTCACTGTAACTCGATATGGAAATGCCTCCACCCACATGACTTTCCCTGCCCTTTCTTTTTATTATTTTATTTTGCATTTTCTTCTCTCTTGCAAGTTATTGGAATGCTGCTAGGTTAACATGAAATGTAAGCACAGTTTTAAAAAGCTGACTGAGACTACAGGTTTGAAGTAGGGGTGGGAACAAGGTCAGCACTCACTATTTCTTGTCTTCTCTTGCTCTATTGTT